CCGGCCCGGTTCGGCGCGCGCGTGTGTGGTGTGAAGCATGACCCATATTTCCTTCTAGGCATAGGAAAGAAAGAGAAGACTTATAAACAACCCTTATTCCCATCTCTTATCCAATATGGGAATAAACTTTCCCATTACAAAATTAAGTTTTAAATTACAACTCCAACAAGATGATACATAAATCGAAGGTGATAAAAGATGATGGGAATGATAACGGTCGATGAAGATGCGAAGGAAGATTAGAAAGCGAGCCAAGGTTGTTAATGAATAGGTGAGGTGGCTACGTCTGTAAGTGGACCGTTGAAAGGTGACTTTATTTTTTATTCCTTAATCTCTCATATTAGTTAGATAGATTATGTGCCTGATGAAGGAGAAGTATTACTTTTTAAATTTTACAAGTGACTGCAAGTCTGCAATTTTACTTTTAAATCCAGAAACAATTGTAGAAAAATCATAATTTAAAAAGGATTTTTTTTTTCATTTATACCAAATCTATCATATTTGCAAATTAACCCATGAAATCTAGAGATTGGCTACCGTTCAATTCTCATACATTGACTTTTTTCCTAACCTTTAATTTTCAATATTATTCATATACCAGATTAAATTGATTAATTTATTAATTTATAATTAAATCGAGAGATGATAAAATGTAGGAGAGAGTAAATTAGCAAGTATCTCGTCTTTATATAATTATAACTTAATAAAACCAATTAACTTAATCAAAAGTATAGTAGTGTTTTGAAAATAGAGGAGCAGAGACCTGCTTGGGAGATTTAAAAGGGGGTAAAATATCAAGTATCTATATTTTAAGGGTAAAGTATATTAGTGTTTTGAAAATTGAGGAGCAGAGACCTGCTTGGGAGATTTAACAGGGGGTAAAATATCAAATATCTATATTTTAGGGGCAAGCTTGCAAATATCGATCATAGATTTTGGGGGTTATAATATGTTTGATACTCTATTCCCACGTCGGGAAGTTACGAGAGTATTTATTGGTTTATAACATGGGTTATGATAATCAAGTGTGATAATCAAGGGCGGATCCAAGTGGTGCCGAGGGTGGGCAACTGCACTTTAGAGATCTTACTTTTCTAGACCATGTTGAGGGTTTTCTAAAAATATATTATAATAGTGATTCTGGTAAATGAGTCAAAAATTATGGGGTGTACTAATTGTTTCTAGCCTGCTGCTAACTGTTTTGATATTATCTTATCAAAACATTCATATCATAAGCTATACAACTCCGAATTGAGTTCCTTTTTATTTCTGTAAATAGATAATTATAGTCAGCCCCTCCAAGAAAATTTTTCTAGATCCGCCACCGGTGATAATGACTAGTTATTTTTGTAATGCTTTGAGCCAAATAACATATTGCATGTTGTTGGGAAAGGGTTTGGATTCTACATTGTTTACTTTGGGTTCAGATTCTGTCACATTTTTCTCCCGGAGTCTATGTTGCTCTTCGATTCTAATGACATTCAACACTTGATCAAGGGTAAGATCTCCTTGGGTATGGCTAACGTTTTTGGCAAAATCTGATCAGGTTTTAGGAATTGTGTCTATAAGACATGCTATCTGAAATGTTTCATCTACGATAGATCTATTCATTTTTAGTTGATGAACTATGTGTTCGAATTCATGAATTTTCTTATTCATTGGTTTGGAATCTATCATTTTAAATTTGTTAAAATCAGACGCTTTAAATCTTTTAATTCCTGTATTATCTAAACTATACTTCTTCTCTAGTGTTTCCCACAGAACTTTATCATTAGTGATAGAGTAATAGATGTCGTATAATCTATCAAATAAGGTTCCTAGGATTCTGTACAGGTAGTGGTATTCTATATCTTGAGGTGTTCTCAGGATAGGAATAAAATCTGCATCGGAAGCTTGCCTAGTGATTGGTCTAGAGGAAGATGGGTTATCAGGTTCAATAGCTGTTATCAAATTTAGGGTCGTTAACCCAAATCTCATTTGGTTTTGCCAACGACGGAATTATTCCTATCGAACTTCTTTGATTTAGCTGATAGGATTTCACTTGTAGTCATAATCTAATAATAAATGAATAGTTTTGTTATTATAATGCAACATACATAATTGAAGCATTCAACCAACAAAATCATCAGGCAGTGTAACATGTCATTTTTATAAAATGTAGACAATATTAACATAAGAAACATGATACTAATCATGATATTATTCTAAACAGCACAATTAGATTATTGGATTATTGGGAAAAATAGGTGATGTTTAGACTATATTTTACGAAATGCAATTTTAATAGTTAATTGAAATCGAAAAATAATAGATTTAAAAATAACTCAAAAAAGAAGTTGAATAAAAAAATTAAACAAAGTTTAAGAATATAGTCCGATGATCAAAACGTGCAAGACACTGACCCAAGAATCTAATTGCACTCTCTCATATAGGGCTACACGGCAATGGATTCCGGAGATACTACGACCCTCGGTCAGGCGACCTTCTTCTCATCGGCACAAACTTCAAGAAGGCTTTGCGAATTCTTCGTAAACTTTTAGGGAACCAACAAATGAGTAACAACAAGAAGTTCTAAATCGAAAAGAGAAGAAGAAGAGAGAAGCATTGTTGTGTTTTTCACTGTGTATTAGCCCTCTCGCCTATAGGTCCTTTTATAGGATTAAAGTCGTCGTTTAGATCCCACCTTTTTCGTCTTTTAGATCCACCATTCTCGCTCTATTAAGTAGTTGTTTGCATTCATCTAGCTACCCGTTTAGATCCTTAATTCCCCTAAATATAGCCGTTTCAATTTCCCGTTTTAATTCTCCTAGCCGTTTTAATTATCCTGAAGAGAATGTAGCAGGTTAAGAGCCCCTCAATCCGGAGCTGCATTCGTGCGCAGATCGTGGCGCGCGCCTCCCGAGGCCCGGTTCGGCGCGCGCGTGTGTGGTGTGAAGCATGACCCATATTTCCTTCTAGGCATAGGAAAGAAAGAGAAGACTTATAAACAACCCTTATTCCCATCTCTTATCCAATATGGGAATAAACTTTCCCATTACAAAATTAAGTTTTAAATTACAACTCCAACAAGATGATACATAAATCGAAGGTGATAAAAGATGATGGGAATGATAACGGTCGATGAAGATGCGAAGGAAGATTAGAAAGCGAGCCAAGGTTGTTAATGAATAGGTGAGGTGGCTACGTCTGTAAGTGGACCGTTGAAAGGTGACTTTATTTTTTATTCCTTAATCTCTCATATTAGTTAGATAGATTATGTGCCTGATGAAGGAGAAGTATTACTTTTTAAATTTTACAAGTGACTGCAAGTCTGCAATTTTACTTTTAAATCCAGAAACAATTGTAGAAAAATCATAATTTAAAAAGGATTTTTTTTTTCATTTATACCAAATCTATCATATTTGCAAATTAACCCATGAAATCTAGAGATTGGCTACCGTTCAATTCTCATACATTGACTTTTTTCCTAACCTTTAATTTTCAATATTATTCATATACCAGATTAAATTGATTAATTTATTAATTTATAATTAAATCGAGAGATGATAAAATGTAGGAGAGAGTAAATTAGCAAGTATCTCGTCTTTATATAATTATAACTTAATAAAACCAATTAACTTAATCAAAAGTATAGTAGTGTTTTGAAAATAGAGGAGCAGAGACCTGCTTGGGAGATTTAAAAGGGGGTAAAATATCAAGTATCTATATTTTAAGGGTAAAGTATATTAGTGTTTTGAAAATTGAGGAGCAGAGACCTGCTTGGGAGATTTAACAGGGGGTAAAATATCAAATATCTATATTTTAGGGGCAAGCTTGCAAATATCGATCATAGATTTTGGGGGTTATAATATGTTTGATACTCTATTCCCACGTCGGGAAGTTACGAGAGTATTTATTGGTTTATAACATGGGTTATGATAATCAAGTGTGATAATCAAGGGCGGATCCAAGTGGTGCCGAGGGTGGGCAACTGCACTTTAGAGATCTTACTTTTCTAGACCATGTTGAGGGTTTTCTAAAAATATATTATAATAGTGATTCTGGTAAATGAGTCAAAAATTATGGGGTGTACTAATTGTTTCTAGCCTGCTGCTAACTGTTTTGATATTATCTTATCAAAACATTCATATCATAAGCTATACAACTCCGAATTGAGTTCCTTTTTATTTCTGTAAATAGATAATTATAGTCAGCCCCTCCAAGAAAATTTTTCTAGATCCGCCACCGGTGATAATGACTAGTTATTTTTGTAATGCTTTGAGCCAAATAACATATTGCATGTTGTTGTTTTTTAGTGATAGACAGTTTCGTTATATTCCTAATTAAACGGCACTCCATGGCGGAAACATTAAAAAGAACACCCCCTTCTAAAATAAAACAAATTAAAAATTAATAAAATTCTAAAGATATGAGAAAAAAAGACAGCTAGCCGAAAGGATCTTGTATATTTAGGGGTTTCCAACAATCTGCTCTGATGATTCCAAGACAACGTTACGGTGAAGGAATCAATTATTCGCATCAAGTCCTATCTCAACATCATAGTCATATCTAGCCTATAAATAGCTTGATCAACTTCACCCATTTCATCAAGCATCACACTAATTAAAGTCTTTGCACCAATGGCTTCCTTCAACGGCTTCAAGGCTTTTATCTCTCTTGCTCTTTCACTTATATTCTTCGTGCAAGCCACTATAGGTATGCTACTACATATGAGTGCAAATCATACAGATAGATGTAAATTTCTTCTTCTTCCATCTTTTTTTTGGACGGACATTGATATTATATAATATGGATATCCGAATATCTAAATTGATTAGATACATTGAAATTAACTTGGTTCTAAATTAGTACATCTGAAGTAGATTTTGATAATTCAAAGGTTTAATTCTTGATTTTTAGGCATGTCAAACACATTAGTGTATCCTTATTTGAGCAAATCTGTTTATAATCATATCATGCGTCCCATGCATCACGTGATATATATGCATTGGATATAGACTGTTTCTCTCACATCCTATACGTATCCAATTATGGTGGATATGAATATATTTGTTCCTTGTCAAACCGACGAACCCTACTCGTATTCAACGTTCATATCTAATATGATTACAATATGGATATAGATATAAATATGATAACGATAACTGTGTAATAAATTAAAGTAATTCTTACAATAATTGCAGGAGGAATAACATGCGAGAACCTGGACAGCAGCACCTGTGCATTTGCTATCTCATCAACAGGCAAACGTTGTGTCTTAGAAAACAGACTGCGAAGGGGAGGGAAGATTGAACTCTCATGTCGAACATCAAGCGTTGAGGCTGAGAAGCTTGCGAACCTGGTTGAGACTGATGAATGTATCCAAGCTTGCGGGCTTAGCAGGAGCACGGTCGGTATCTCTTCAGACTCTCTGTTGGAGACAAAATTCACTCAGAAACTTTGCTCCCCTCAATGCTACAATGTTTGTACTAACATCGTTGATCTCTACTTCAATCTCGCTGCTGGTGAAGGTACAATCAATTTACAAATCTAGTAATGTGTTGGAATCATTTTCACGTAATATTTTTACTGTAAAATTTACAAAACAATCACAAAAATGCCCATAACTATTTCTATCTGTGAAAATATGATTAATTTTAGAATCAACAGAAAATACTACATACTGTCAAAAAGTTACTTACGAATAAAATGTAATGAATTTTATTTATGTTTTACAAAACTACATTGAATTTTCAAATAACTCACTAAATTATCATGAACACTGCATAATAGTGATCAAATAACTAGTCTGAACTTTCAAACTTTATCATAAGACTTATTATATCACTACAAAAAAAGGGTATTTAACAACTACTTTTTTCACATCTAACAACATTTTAGAAACATTGCAAAGTTGAGCACCAACGATCGATGCAAATGTTGCAATGGCAGGTGTAGGTTGTAGGGTATCAATATTCGGTTAAAACGTTGGCATTGTTCCAACGTTTCTAGTTGAAAACGTTGGTTGTTCCAATTTTATCCTGCAAGCCCACATATGTTGTCATTTATTTCAAGGCCACACATTAGACAAAATTTTATCTAGAAGCCCACATACCTTGTGATTATTTCAAGGCCCACACAATACCCTTATTTTTCTTACAGCGCAACCACATTAGTTATTTCAGAGTCCACAATCCCTTATTTAATGCAAACCCACGAATAACAATCCAGTTTGTAGAAACAGCAGAGACCACTATAAACATAAATATTATCCAAAGCCCACCAATAAGGAGCCAAAGGGAAATCCTGGGGAGTTCATACAAAGAGCTGCCCTTCTCTTCTGCAACTATGCTTTAAATACCTTATATTAAAACTATCCGATGTGGGACATACATTATCTGCCAAAAACTTCAGAGAAAATATAGAGAACTTCCCTATGTTTTTGGTGCAAATTAACATTGGTAATTCCTAACGTTTGCTCAAACGTTAGTAATCATACATTGCTATCTACGACTTATTTTCTAGTGTATATTTTTTTCTATTTATGGGTGTGGTATTTCTTCGAATAAAAAATAGCTCACGGTTGCTTTTGTACAAAATCTCTAATAAATAGGTCATGGTAGTTTTGTAAAATTTACCCTGTTTTTATTCATGACTATACTATTCTGATCATATCTTATGCTGTAAACCGTGTAGATCAGTTAAATTACTAACCGAAATCAATCCTCTCCTGTTCTTAGGTGTATTTCTACCCAAGTTATGTGAAGAACAGGTGACAGTCGTTTCTCGTAGAGTTGACATGGAGGTGGGCAGTTCAGGACTAGCACCGGTGGCAGGGCCGATCTCAGGGCCGGAGGCTTGTGCGCCTTTTAAGTCAATTGAGAGCACTGCTGATGTCCCTGCAATGCCACCAATGTAGGATGCTGAAATATTGGAAGATTTAAGACAGTCTCTATGATTTTATAGTGTATAATGATGTTGGGCATTTGGCAGGCTTGTTAGTATGAAAAGATTGCATATGTTAATGTATGTTTCGTGTGATGATATGTTTACAGGATTAAACAGAGTGTATCATGTAGTGATACTTATTTCGACTGTGGCTCCAATTATTTTTCCCTTCCCCTTTTAAATTGTGATTATCTTGGATTTAATGGAGGATTAAGTGATGAATTTGTTTCCTCACTTCTGATGAATTTTCACTAAACCCTTGACAGTATGTGTTAGATCTACATCATAAAACTTGAGATCTAAAACCATATAGCCATGATTAATTCAAAGAGATTAACAAAATCAAAAGAGAGCGGAAGCTTATACCTGAATCCATTGCTTGATCTTGATTTTGGGTGTTGGATCTTCTAACCTTAGGGTTCTCTCTAAAACCGAATTTCTCTAGCTAGATGGGGGTGTAGAGAATTAGAGAATGTAACCCTAGGTTAGGGACCATAACCCCTTATTTATAGATGTTGTACTTTTGTAATTTAGCCCCTCAATAAATTACAATTACAACCTGGTATCTGCACATATGACCCCATGACTTATTTAAATACCAAATTAACCCAACTTAATTGATCACTTTAATGGGTTATCCTGAAAGATAGCAATACACATTGATTAATCATATGTGCCCACAAATAGATTTATTAGATTAAATCCAACAATCTCCCACTTGGGCACCATATGATTCCTTAAACTGTGTATAACCTTATGAGCTCAAAAATTGCTATCACTGAAATGGTATTTCCGAACAATCTCGTCCATTGACTATATCAATATAGGATCAAAGCGGCCTTCGTCACATTTATCGTGACTCGACCCATCAATGGTCACATATACCAATACAATCAACCGTCACCAAAGGAGCGGTGACTCTCTCAAAGAGAGCCCGCCAAAGGCAACGCCAACGCTTGGCCAAACAATTCGCCAAAGCGATGGAGTCCACCGACGGAGTCCGCTACAACGCGGGTCTGAAGAACAAGAGAGGCAAACAGCCTCAACAACAGATGAACGGCGCCTCTTCCAAGCCGCCAACAATGGAATGGGTCCGTGTCAAACGGAATCGTTCGACGCTGGAAGAACGCATCCGCAAACGCCGCGCACTATCAGCGCAGGCACGGGCTCAAGCCGAAGAAGCCCGTAGAAAGTTGCAGAAAGAGGTGGTCAAGAAGCCGCCACCAACTCGCAAAGTCTGGAGGCCAAAGTCTGAAGCGGCAATTCAGGCTAAGGAGCAACCTTTGCAGCCTCCAACCAAAATTCAACCTCCGGCGAACCCAGCTAAGTCGCCGAGAATTCCCATAGCTACTCCGGGAGATCATGCAGAATCCTCCCGAAGAAGAAAGCCAGTCTTGGAGCGCCTCGGTCCAATTTCCGATGAGCGAAGCAAAGCTCCGATCCAAGAACGTTTGGGCCCACTAAGAAAGCCCCGAACGAATCCACACGCTGGGGGTCGCCGTCACCTCCAGTATAACAAAGAACTCAAGGCAGCTGCGCTCACCAACTTGCGCATCGAAGTCCAAGAGCACGCTGAAGACTCGCGCCCACAAAGGCACGTTTCGAGGCGTGTAACTCTTGAAAGTCCAAGGAAGGAAATTCTCCCTCAGAAGGAAACGTTATCATCTGATGATGATTACGTTATACCTGAGAAATCGTGCCAACACACGATAAGTTGCTCTGACGTGCTGGGGGTACGAACAGAACCAGAAAGAGGAGTCCCCGAGAACAGGAAACTCAGTGCCCTTGTTCAAAGCTCATTCGGGCGGTACTGTCTCAATGCAACTGCATCAAGGTAGTCCCCGAGAGAATTTCAGTGTTCGAAAGGCTCGGCACCGAAACGCCAAAACCAAGGTATAGGCGTTTCCGGCAAAGAAGAACGGTGGTTAATGACGGAGAATTTCCGAGGGTCACCGCCAATATGACGAGCAAAGAGACCTCATCACGGGATGATCTCAAGTCGTTTCTGGAAGCATCCCAGTGTCTAACCCGTCTGCAGTCTGGAGCCATCGCACGAGGAACTTATGGTAGGGTTCGGACAAGATCACCTTCAGAAGATGAAGAATCAGATTCCTGCTCTGCTGTCGCATCGGATAATACAGTGTCCAGCGAAGGACAACCCCGCGAGTCATTCATGATAAGCGCGGAAGAAGTGGCCAAGATGCTTGAAGACGCTTTGGCTAAACAGAAAGAAAGTTTCAAGTTTGAGATGCAGATGGCCATGCAGACTATGAGAGAGATGCATGAGCAACAAATCCAGGCATTCAGGAACCAACGAGGTGAACCAAGTCACCGTAACCAGGTTGTTCAGGAAGAGGAGCACGTGGATAGGGATGAAGCTCACAATGCCAATAACCCTCCCGTCAATGCAGGGGGTGGTAATGAGGATGCCAACGAAGATGCAGATGAAAACTTGAAGATCAAAGACCTCGAGAGCAAAATCAACACATTGATCTCCGCTCATTGATTTCTGCTCAAGAGGTGAAGAAGACGGGCATTCCTTGTCCATACCCGAGAGAGTGGGAATCGATCCCCTATCCGGCGAAGTTCAGTTTAATCAACTTCACGCCGTTCGATGGGAAGGGTTCCCCCACTCAGCATTTGATTTATTTCAAATCGCATCTGTGTATTATCTCCGGCAATGAGCCTCTGATGGTGCGGTCATTCGTCGGCACTCTTCGCGGAGCCGCCTTCGATTGGTATCGCCGCCTCAAGCCAAGTAGCGTAAACAGCTGGGACGATATGGAGACCATGTTCCTCGCCAACTTCTTCGACGACGACACCGAGATATCTATCGGATCATTGCTCGATGAGAAGCAGAAGGACGGAGAGTACCGAGATATCTATCGGATCATTGCTCGATGAGAAGCAGAAGGACGGGGAGTTAGTCGACACCTTCGTTAAAAGGTTCCGGAACAAAGCGATGAATTGTCGGGACCCGATCACCAATGAGTCCCCCCCCCACCCCTGCCACAACAACCTTTCGCTGGACGTGTTGGAAGCAATGGGCACAGCACCGTCCAAAACGTGGCAGGATCTGAAGGTCCGAGGGGAACAAGCCGAACGTTTCCTACGAAGGAAGAAGGCCGAGAGGAACCTACCGACGGCTAATCCTCTGGACTCAAACTTCGCCTCTCGTGGTAAGGGCAAGGCACCTGCAGCTGCTGGTGGTGCTAATCAAGCGTCACAACAGCAATCTCGAAGGCAGCAAAAGACTTCGGGTCCGAGACTCCAAAGAGAGTATTCCTTCAAGGACGAAGACATTCCAGCCATCTTCGAATCTCTCCTTGGAAGTAACAAGATCAAGCTACCACCTATCACAAATCAGGAGGAAGCTGACAACACTACGGACCCAAAGTACTGTGCATACCACAGGAGGGTCGTTCATCCCACCAAGGATTGCTTTGCTCTCAAGAATAGCATTCAGACCTTGGTTGAAGCCGGCGTCATAACGCTAAGGTAAGCCAATTGAGAATGGCAAAACTCCGACCGGTATAAGAGTATAAACTGCTTCCTAAAACTCCAAAGAGTATACGAGTATAAACTGTTTCTCAATCCTCCGACCGGTATAAGAGGTTAAACTACTCCCTGATACTCCAATAGGTATATGAGTCTAAACTGTTTCCCCACTTTTGACGGGAAGTTCCTGGAGAATATTAAGCTAATATTCTTAAGGATAACCCGGTTAGTTAACTGATAATAATGTCCGAACCAGTTCCGCAGAGGAAACTGGGGGTGGACGATTTATGTAACGGGAAGTTCCCAAAACCACAGCAATGTAATGAATAAGAACTCCCATTCTCACCATGTCTATGCACTCAACACTCTCTCTGTTAGAGTCTGGACGTAAAGTTCCTGATTGGTCAAACCTTCTTACAGTTAGGACCACAGTCAAAATCCCCTCTCGATTCCCCCAATGAACGAGAGGTCCACAAATTGAGCGATCAAACCTTCCTACAGTTAGGATTGTCTCAAAACACCCACTTGGTCAAACCTTCTTACAGTTAGGACCACAGTCAAAATCCCCTCTCGATTCCCCCAATGAACGAGAGGTCCACAAATTGAGCGATCAAACCTTCCTACAGTTAGGATTGTCTCAAAACACCCACTTGGTCAAACCTTCTTACAGTTAGGACCACAGTCAAAATCCCCTCTCGATTCCCCCAATGAACGAGAGGTCCACAAATTGAGCGATCAAACCTTCCTACAGTTAGGATTGTCTCAAAACACCCACTTGGTCAAACCTTCTTACAGTTAGGACCACAGTCAAAATCCCCTCTCGATTCCCCCAATGAACGAGAGGTCCACAAATTGAGCGATCAAACCTTCCTACAGTTAGGATTGTCTCAAAACACCCACTTGGTCAAACCTTCTTACAGTTAGGACCACAGTCAAAATCCCCTCTCGATTCCCCCAATGAACGAGAGGTCCACAAATTGAGCGATCAAACCTTCCTACAGTTAGGATTGTCTCAAAACACCCACTTGGTCAAACCTTCTTACAGTTAGGACCACAGTCAAAATCCCCTCTCGATTCCCCCAATGAACGAGAGGTCCACAAATTGAGCGATCAAACCTTCCTACAGTTAGGATTGTCTCAAAACACCCACTTGGTCAAACCTTCTTACAGTTAGGACCACAGTCAAAATCCCCTCTCGATTCCCCCAATGAACGAGAGGTCCACAAATTGAGCGATCAAACCTTCCTACAGTTAGGATTGTCTCAAAACACCCACTTGGTCAAACCTTCTTACAGTTAGGACCACAGTCAAAATCCCCTCTCGATTCCCCCAATGAACGAGAGGTCCACAAATTGAGCGATCAAACCTTCCTACAGTTAGGATTGTCTCAAAACACCCACTTGGTCAAACCTTCTTACAGTTAGGACCACAGTCAAAATCCCCTCTCGATTCCCCCAATGAACGAGAGGTCCA